GGTGCAGTTTTTCCCCCACCTTTAATTTATGGGGTAGTTAATAATTAATGGGTATAACTGGGTCCATTTAAACTTCTTTCAGAACAAGCACTTCGCCCAAACAGAATGTATTGGCGACAAGGCATCTATTTGAATTGGTCTCCTGAAGCTTATTGCCTGGTAGAATCTGAAGTCTTAGATAATCATCCAGAGAGTTTCCTAAAAATTACAGTTCCTTCTTGTAGAAAAGGTAAGGAAATTAATTCAAAACGTTGAACTGTACCACTAAAGAAATCTAAACTTAAAAAAACAACAACTTTATAGCTTTTCTTTGTTAGCTTTGTGACAGAATAAAGTTCCAATAGGGTGGTGATGAGCTCTTCTCTGGATTATGTAGGCTGTATTATTTTGGGACAAGTTGTGGACCACATTGATTCTCTCATGGAAGAATGGTTTCCTGGGTTATTGGAGACTGATATTTGTGGTGAAGGAGAAACTTTGTTGAAGAAATGGGCATTATATAGTTTTAATGATGGCGAAGAACATGAAAAAATTTTACTTGATGAGTTGATGAAGAAAGCAGAAGAAGGTATGTGTTGATGCAACTTACATATGTTTTTAAGTGATGTCTCAATATTTGTAAAGTGAGTTTTGTTATAAATGTAGAGACTATTCTTATCCATGGGAGATGTGTTAGAGTACATTACATTCAATTATAGTGAAAATTCAGGAAAATGTATTATATTTGTTACCCGGAAGAGCATGTATTCTAAATACTCCAGAATCACCTGTGTCATAGATAGCTCAATCCCCAATCTCATTAAATTCAAAAACTACCTTCAACTCTTCACCAACTAACACATATAAAACTAGTAAAAACTCCATTAATAAACCAACAACAAACGACCCCAATACTACCATATTAGAAACCCAGGCCTCAGGATACTGTTCTGTGGCCATGGCCGTTGTATATCCAAAAACTACCAATATTCCCCCCAAATAAATCAAAAACACTATTAAACCCAAAAATGACCCATTAAAACTTACAACAATACCACAACCAACCCCACCACTCGCAATTAACCCTACCCCACCATAAATAGGAGAAGGCTTAGAAGAAAATCCCACAAAGCCAACTACAAAAATAATACTTAAAATAGATACAATATAGACTATCATTATTCCTGCATGGACTATATCCACGACTAGTGACACGAAAAATCACCGTTGTATTTCAACTACAAGAACAAACAATGACCAACATTCGAAAATCTCACCCCCTAATAAAAATTATTAATAGCTCATTTATTGACCTTCCCGCCCCATCAAACATCTCATCTTGATGAAACTTTGGGTCCCTCCTAGGAATCTGTCTAGCACTACAAATTTTAACAGGATTATTTTTAGCTATGCACTATACATCAGACACTGCAACAGCTTTTAACTCTGTCACTCATATCTGCCGAGACGTAAACTACGGCTGAGTTCTGCGCTATATACATGCAAATGGAGCTTCCATATTTTTTATCTGCTTATACCTTCATGTAGGGCGGGGCTCTATTATGGATCCTACATATATACAGAAACCTGAAATATTGGAGTCATTCTACTATTTGCTGTAATAGCAACAGCCTTTATAGGATATGTACTTCCATGGGCCAAATATCTTTTTGAGGGCAACCGTAATTACTAACTTACTCTCCGCAATCCCATATATTGGAACAGATCTCGTAGAGTGAATCTGAGGTGCTTTTCCGTTGACAAAGCTACCCTAACCCGGTTTTTGCCTTTCACTTTCTCCTTCCATTCATTATTGCAGCCATAGTATAGTCCACCTTCTATTCCTACATGAAACAGGATCCAACAATCCAACAGGAATTCCCTCTAACGCAGACATAATTCCTTTCCATCCCTACTATACAATCAAAGACATTCTTGGCTTATTACTAATAATTACAGCCCTACTTATATTAGTACTATTTCTCCTGATATACTAGGAGACCCTGATAATTATACGCCAGCAAACCCACTAAATACTCCTCCCCATATCAACCAGAATGATACTTCTTATTCGCGTACGAATCCTACGATCAATCCCAAATAACTAGGAGGAGTCCTAGCTCTAGTACTCTCAATTCTTATCCTAATTATTGTCCCCTTACTTCACACCTCTAAACAACGCAGCATAACCTTCCGTCCTTTAAGTCAATGCCTATTTGGCTATTAACAGCAGACCTCTTCACCCTAACATGAATCGGAGGACAACCTGTCGAACACCCATATGTTATTATTGGACAATTAGCATCAATTCTCTACTTTTCTATTATCATTATCTTAATGCCACTCGCCAGCCTAATAGAAAACCATTTACTAAAATGAAGAGTCTATGTAGTATACTAATTATACTGGTCTTGTAAACCAGAGAAGGGGAAGAAGAATTCCCCAAAGACTCAAGAGAAAGGCTCATGCCCTACCATCAACACCAAAGCTGATATTCTAATTAAACTATCTCCTGAAACTTCATTTATTCATGCATCCTAAAATTTTCAAGTGCCTTCATGTATAATCTGATATCTAATTAAACTATCTCCTGAAACTTCATTTATTCATGCATCCTAAAATTTTCAAGTGCCTTCATGTATAATCACACATTAAATTATCTTACCCCATGGATATTAATTTATTCATGCATCCTAAAATTTTCAAGTGCCTTCATGTATAATCGTACATTAAATTATCTTACCCCATGGATATTAAGCAAGTACATACTTATATTAATATTACATAATACATACTATGTATAATCGTACATTAAATTATCTTACCCCATGGATATTAAGCAAGTACATACTTATATTAATATTACATAATACATAGAATGCGTAATCGTACATACCCCATCTTACCCCATGAATATTAAGCAAGTACATACTTATATTAATATTACATAATACATAATCGTACATTAAATTATCTTACCCCATGGATATTAATATTAAGCAAGTACATACTTATTTTAATCCCATGATCTAGCTACCTCCGTGAAACCAACAACCCGCCCAATAAGTACCTCTCTTCTTGTCCCAGGCCCATAACATGTGGAGCTACCTCCGTGAAACCAACAACCCGCCCAATAAGTACCTCTCTTCTTGTCCCAGGCCCATAACATGTGGGGGTTTCTATACTGGGTCGTAAACGGCATCTGGTTCTTACTTCAGGCACATAAACTAAGCTCGCCCACTCGTTCCCCTTAAATAAGACATCTCGATGGATTCATGACTAATCAGCCCATGCCGCGGATAACTGTGATTTCATGCCCTTGGTATTTTTAATTTTTAGGGGATGCTTGGACTCAACATTGGCCGTCAAAGGCCCGACCCGGTGCATTTAAATCCAGACGGACTTAAAATGTACACCCTACACCCGCATAATGAGGACCGGGATTATAGGTTAATGATCTAAGGACATACAACTGAATTAATCTTGCAATTAATTAATGGACTTCGGAATTCAAGTTAAATCAAGGTGTTAATAGATTAATGGTTTCAGGACATATCACGCTACGCATACGCATACGCATACGCATACGCATACGCATACGCATACGCATACGCATACGCATATCCACGCTACGCATACGCATACGCATACGCATACGCATACGCATACGCATACGCATACGCATACGCATACGCATACGCATACGCATACGCATACGCATACGCATACGCATACGCATACGCACACAAACCCACCTATACGCATACGCATACGCATACGCATACGCACACGAACCCACACACCCATACGCATACGCATACGCATACGCATACCTTACCCCCCGTTAAGCATACATTATGGGTATTAATAATATTTCTTGCCAACCCCAAAACAAGAATAATAGCACCATAACATAGATAAACTTAACAGTATTCTAGAGCCAAATATCATAATCTCCACCACCCGTAAGGCGCACCCCTTACTTTAAAGATTCGCCTTCCTTAGACAGACATCTCCCCAGATCTGTAAATAGGACCCCAAGTAAGCCTGTTCATCTCATAAGTTAATGTAGCTTAATACTAAAGCAAGGACTGAAAATGCCTAGATGAGTTCCCTCACTCCATAAACACATAGGTTTGGTCCTGGCCTTTCTATTAGTTATTAGTAAATTTACACATGCAGAATCTTCGCCCCAGTGAGAATGCCCTCTACACCAAACAATGGTAAAAAGGAGCTGGTATCAAGCACACTAATAAGTAGCTCATGACGCCTCGCTTAGCCACACCCCCACGGATACAGCAGTGATAAAAATTAAGCAATAAATGAAGTCTGACTAAGTTATACTTCTAAGGACTGGTAATCTCGTGCCAGCCACCGCGTCATACGATTAGGCCAAACTAATAGACAATCGGCGTAAAGCGTGTTCTAGAAATTAAATAATAAATAAAATCAATCTTAACTAAGCTGTAAAAGCCTCAGATATTGTAAGATAAATAACGAAAGTGATTTAAAAAATCTGACTACACGATAGCTAAGATCCAAACTGGGATTAGATACCCCACTATGCTTAGCCCTAAACATAAAAATTATAAACAAATTATTCGCCAGAGTACTACTAGCATAGCTTAAACTCAAAGGACTTGGCGGTGCTTATATCCTTCTAGAGGAGCCTGTTCTATAATCGATAAACCCGATCTACCTCACCAATCTTTGCTAATCAGCCTATATACCGCCATCTTCAGCAAACCCTAAAAGGAACTAAAGTAAGCACAAGTATAAGCATAAAACGTTAGGTCAAGGTGTAGCTTATAGAGTGAAAGAAATGGGCTACATTCCCCGAATCGGGAACTAAATTTATACGAAAACCTATGTGAAACCAAAAGTTAAAGGTGGATTTAGCAGTAAACTAAGATAGAGTGCTTAGTTGAATATGGCCATAAGGACGCACACACCGCCCGTCACCCTCCTCAATAACATATTATAAAATCATAAATAATATATATATATAAATATTACCTATGAGAGAGACAAGTCGTAACAAGGTAAGTGTACTGGAAAGTGCACTTGGATAACACAAAGTGTAGCTTAAACAAAGCACCTAGTTTACACCTAGAAGATTTCACATTAAATGACCACTTTGAAACTAATTATAGCTCAAATACATCACATATAACTGCCCTGGTAATATTAAAATAAACATTCACAACAATAAAAGTATAGGTGATAGAATTTTATATGACGCTATAGAAAAAGTACCGTAAGGGAAAAATGAAAGAGATTATAGTAAAAATAGCAAGATTAATCCTTGTACCTTTTGCATAATGATTTAACTAGAAATATTAGCAAAAAGAATTTAAGTTAAACACCCGAAACTAGACGAGTTACCCACTAGCAGCTTAAGAGCAAACTCATCTATGTGGCAAAATAGTGAGAAGACTAATGGGTAGTGCGACAAACCTATCGAGCCTAGTGATAGCTGGTTGTCCAGAAAAGAATTTTAGTCTAATTTAAACTTACCATAAAAAAACAAATTCAAATGTAAGCTTAAATAATAGTCTAAAAGGGTACAGCCTTTCAGACAAAGGATACACCTCTATTAGTGAAAAACCTAAAAA